TACTACTACTACTACTACTACTACTACTACTACTACTACTACCTGTGATCTGCCGGCACCGAGAGTGAAGTGAGTACGGCAAGTACCGGAGTTGGACTCATCCCGAAGATCTTACGGAGAGCACCGACGCCGATGTTGGGGCGAATGTAACTGAAAAATGCACTTTGAGAAAATTCTCATCTAATCGGCTAAGGTAAGTACATTCGGCGAGCGATGGCAGCAGCACGAATGTAGAGGTAGTCATCATCATAGGGGGCAAGCTCTCTCTGGGTGCCAGTCTTGATGTACTCGGCCCACTGCATGAGGAAGCGTAGGGTTAGGTAGTGGTGATAGTAGTAGTACCTTGGGGACCTTCATTCTGGCCCTGGGCCTTCAAATGAGCGGCGAAGGCCTTGATGAAGAGCTCAGCGGGGACATCCTTTACGGTCTTAGCATCATATTTGGCGACTAGCTCACACATGATGGTGGTGGTAGTTAGAAGAAGTACACAACAACGTCTGGGGGACTAGGCCGCCTCTCAACACGGAAAATTGACAAAATCGATCACGTGATCGATAGCCTCAAATTCGCCGCGCCGGCCTAGTCGAAGTACTCTTATCGTAGGGAGCGACATGAACGGTGTTAAGAAGTAGAGATAGCGCTAGTCGTGGTCCCTATGGTGTACCATGTAAAAAGGGTGTCATTCTATCTCCACTAGAAAGAAGACAGTTATGGAGTAGATGGAATCGTAACCATCCATTTGGTATATTTCACCAAATCAAGCTCACTAGATGGTGTTTCAATACAGTTCGGGGGACTAGCAATTGCTATGATGTCGACTTCAAAGGACGTTGTATTGCAGGAGCCATGATAGTCAACGAGCCCCATTCGAAAGTGAATGTGTTTGCAGTCTTCATCATCAAGGGTTCATACAAAAGGCTTCTTAACATCATCATACAAGTGCCTTGCAACTTTCGTCACCGAGATTCCCAACAATTATCAATGTTAGCTTCCCATCGATGCAAAGTAGAGAGAATCCAGCCTTGCTAATGGCATGAGCCTACGCTATGCGAAGTAGACAACGACGTGGTTTTTTATCCAAGTGGAGAATATTTGCTCCCCTGTCAACCTTTCCGACGATGATGCTCTCTATTATCATCACTACTGCCAGTAGCAACACAACCCTTTAAAGGGAATACTCGTCTAACGATGTTTTTAGACTTTTTCTTATAATGATGTCACGTCCTATCGGTTCTCTCTACTCCTCACTCCATATCGTCGGCAATCCTTTGGGACGTGAACAGCAATAGAATTGTCCACTTCTTGTAACGCGAGTCTGGGGCCTTCGAGAGCTTACAAAAGACCTTCCTACCAAAATCACACCATCGTCATGGTGTACACAGTACAACACGGACAATGATGGTGATTAATTACTATGTGATCTAACTGAGCGTCAATGATGGTGAATATGTTTCCGGCGGCTATCACCGTTGTATTCTCTCTCACACGACAGAGCTATTCGTTGAAAACCCTATGTCGTAGTAGACTTGGTACCACAAAGAGATGCTGCCGATAAGACAACCAATAACGACAGCAGGTACATTCAGGAATGCCCACTACGAACGCAATACGGTTAGGACTGCCGATGCAATATCAGTCAATGCGGCGCTAATGAAGGCGATACCATCAACCAGACATATATGTGTGCACCGCTCCGCTAGACTCCACTACAATAAGAGGAACACTGATAACCAGCCAGTAACACAATACCCCTTTTAGCAGGAAATCATCCAACTTATCACGAAAAAATCATCAGAAAGTCTCAACATGATCAACAAAGTTTATTATTCATTCCCTTGCCTTTTAACCATTTCCTTGGCAATAGTCTCCAATTGTATATTAGATGTTCCTTCATAGATCTGCCCAATCTTGGCATCCCTGTACAACTTCTCCAAGGGATAGTCTTGAGTAAAACCAACACCTCCCAGCCATTCTATGCCTTTACTAGCGGCCTCTTCCGCCACCCTCGATGCCTTCAGCTTGGCAGCACTACACTCCAGTATGATATCCTTACTAGACAGCTCACCCTGGTCCACCATTATCTTCAATGCAGCGGCATTGTAACTATACAAGACCGGTGGTGACACGATGGTGGTGTCACCATGATACTATCAAGATAACCCATATAAAGCGACGGTTCTAGACACCCCAGAGAGAACCTCTTCTCACTCGGTCGGGCACTTCTCTATGATGAAGAAATGTGCTATCATCGCGTGCGGTTACGAAAATTCTTGAAAATTTTCCCGAAAATCACTAATCCAATTTTACGCATATAACACCCCACTAAGAAACAGCCGCTATCCAGACCACCCCTTGAG